AAAGGCTGACTATTGCCATTCCAATTGTACTTTCCTCATACCTTCACATTCTTTTCCTGCAGCCCATCTACAGGAGAATAAAAAAACTGCCCACATGTGGCAGTGATGTTCAGAAGAATCTATCTTTTAAAAATTTTTTTATGTATTTTATTTTTACGTGTAAGAGTGTTTTGCTGCATGTATGTAAGTGCACCCATGTCATGTAATGTCCATGGAGGCCAGAAGACGGTGTCCTGGAACTAGAATTAAGGCCGATTGTTAGCTGTCATGTGGATGCTGGAAACCAAATCTGGCACCTCTCTAAGAGGAGTCAGTGCTCTTAACCACTGAGCCATGTCTCTAGCCCCAAGAATCTACCTTTTGATAGAGCACAGATATAGACCTAAGGACAGAGTTCAGTTCTTAAAGTGTCTGTCATTCGTAATCATGAAGACCTGAGTTTGATCTCCAGCATCCATGTTTTTTTTTTTTTTTTTTTTTTTTTTTTTTTAAAAAAAAAAAAAAAAAAAAAAAAAAAAAGAGGACGATAAAAACCAGGCTGGCCTTGAACTCACAGAGATCTGCCTGCCTCTGCCTCCCGAGTGCTGGGACTACAGGTGTGTGCCACCACGCTCCATGTATTTTTTAAAAAGTGCTTTTATTCTCAGTGCTGGGGAGTAGAGGACAGGCAGATCCCTAGAGCTCACTGACCTGCCAAGCTAGCCTAATTGGTGAGCCTGAGATCCCAGTGAGAGACCCTGTCTCAAACAAGGTGGACAGCTCCTAAGGAACACCAGAGGCGTCTACATGCATAGACGTGTTCATGTGTCTGAATACACTTCCCCTTCCCCTCCAAATCACAGATGATATAAAACCCATACCCTTTCTTCTGAGGCAACAAAGCACTCAACATTTCTAAAGACTATTCCTCCTTAAAGGCTAAAAAAGATAAGGCAAAAGGTGGTCTCCTTTTTCATATAGTGACTTAAATGAAAGGAAGGAAAATAATTTTCAGGCAAGTCAAACTTTAAAACACAAATATCTGCAGAAGTTAAATTAGCATATGGGTTAACAGACAGATAAGCAGAAAAATTATTTGTATATATTAAAAAGTGCACATGTGCGCTCTAGAAACAGAATGTCTAAGAAAGAATTCCTGACAGTGACAAAGTAGTTCAGTTAACAGAGTGCTTAATCCTCAGAAGCAAATAACCAGAGTATGGTGTCACATGCTTATAATCCCAGAACTCAGAGGTAGAGGAAGAAGGATGTGAATTCAAGGTCCATCCTCAGACACAGAGTGAGTTAGGGGCCAGTGTGGGTTACATGAGTCCTTATCTTAAAATAACAAAAAGTAAACGAGATGGCTGGGGCAGGGAGAAGTATGTGTAAAAAGTACTTGCTGCAAACACATGATGATCTGAGTTCCATCTTTAGAAACGACATAAAGGTGAGAATGGCTTCTACAAGGCTGTCTGTTGACCTCCACACATATGCTATGCTCACATACATGTATCACGCACATATGTGCATGAACATACACACACCAGTAAAATAATTTTTAAAAGGCAAACAAACAAGAAAGAAATAATTCCTAATAATTAGGAAGAGAGGACATTAAAAGGACATTGCAGAGGTGAAGGGCTCCTAAAGTGGGAGGCAATAGAAAGTGCAATGACTATCAGTGACAGCAAAGGGATTACCAGACAGAGCTACAGGCTCAGAAGAAAGGCATAAGGCTTATGCAGATGCCAATAACCCCCCAAAATCCAGGCTCACCTTGTTTGTGTCTGACACCTGACCTGCTGAGGCCTGCCATCTGCTATACAACAGTCCAGAGCCCACTCTGTCTTGCACAAATTTTAGATTCCCTGATGAAAGCAGTTGCTGAGCTCTATGTTGCCAGTTCACGGTTCTTTCAATCATATAGCGAAGTGCATCTCCCTCTGGAAGACGAACCCGGATACGCTGTAGGGAGGCCAGCAGAGGCAGAATTTTCTCTAATGGAGGTTTCTCTGACCTCCGACAGTGAGGACAAAGCCAGATTCTAGGGCTTTGTGAAATACTGGGGACTGCCACACAACTAGTGTGGAAAGCATCCCTGCAGAGTTCACACTGGATCATAGGAGTCGCTGGATTCTTCTGACATAGGCAGACTTTCATCTCTACATCTTGGACAGGTGATAGCAATTTCCCTTCGTTGGCAAATCTGAGAGACTGCAAAGCTTCCATCTCTCTTAGGCGAGCTTCCCCAAGCGTTGCCATCTGAAAAGGAGTTAGCCATCAAGGATGTTGTCACAGAGAACTAGCCCTCCTCCACAACTCAAGATCTTAGTGGTTAAAAGGAAAGGCTTCAAAGTAGATTACCTTGCATTCAACTCCAGGGCACTCTACATCGCCCCCTATGGGGGGGGAGTCAGGGGCAGGTGGAGGGTGTAGGGGCAGACAACACATTCTACTGTGGCTAAGTTTTTGCACATATAAAATGGACTTGACAACAATATGTACTCCACAGGGTTTACAAAAACAATCAAATGAGAGATGTGAGACAAAACACTTTGCCTAACACATAGTAAATACAGTGTGTACAATTAATTAACCTATACCACTTCTTAAAAGTCCAACCTGTATATTTATATATAGCCTAGAGTATTTAGCTCTCTAAAAGATACTGACATTTGATACTTTGTGTATGCTCATTTCTGACCTCCCTTAGTTTTCATTCCATTAGCTTTTGTGGTCTTCTAAAAAGCACATGAGACAGAAAAGTTGCTAGAGCCAGGTGTAATAGCACAAATCTGAAAATGTGGCACTTGGAAAGCTAAGGCAAGAAGATTTGCCTGAATGAGTCCAATCTGAGCTACAAAATGAGTTCTAATTCAGCCTAAAATACAATGTGAGACCCTGTCTCAGAGAGAGTGAAAGACAGACTCCTCAGCAGCCACTACATTATATCGTGGCCGCTCTATGTTGCTTACTGCTCTTACTGCTCTTCATTGCTAAGTCATCTACGTGATGGACACAGAAATTATAAGTAATAAAAGTCGATACCTCACAAAACAAAAAGGAGTAAGTAAATATATAAACCATTTGGGGCTGAGGATGTAACCAGCACCACATAAAATGGGCATGGCGGCATATGTCTGTTTATGTATGTAGGATCAACTTCGCAGCCATAAGATTTGGAATGATACTGAACATACTTTTCTAAAAACCACTTATAAATTGCCCATAAATGGAACTTTTACAAGGTCAGACTAAGCACTCACTACATATAAGGCATCTGTCCAGATAAATTGGCCAACTGTCTCAAGAAAAACAAAGACCAGGAGAACAGATACAGAGGGGGGAGATTTTTAAGAATCAAGCTTCCCCCTCCAAAAATAAAAGCTAGAGGCTATGAGACCTCAGCTAATTTAACTAATTCTATCCCCAAGTCCTTAAAATGTTAATATGGAACAGTTAAAACCATTCCCAATAGTTACAAATCAGCTCACCTTCAGATCTATCCACTAGATCTACAAGTAAATTGTAACAAATATTTGATATATTAAGATAAAATGTTGTAAGATTACATTGTCTACTGCTGTTATTAACATATTAGTTTGTATGATGCTCACACACTGACAAAACTAACCAAGAATACACTTTCTAGAATTCATCCCATTGTTAAAACAGGCGGAGCTCCATGTGGCAGAGGCCAGATGGCCAGTCCCGTAATGCTCCATGCCATTAAAGCACCCAAAACACACAGCAATCCCCTGTTCTATCCTGACACTATGCTCATTGTGCTGGACAGTTTTAGTTGTCAACAGACATACCTGGGTAGAGGGAGCCTCAACTGGGGAACTGTCTCCATTGGACTGGCCTGTGGCCATGTCTGTGGGGAATCTTCTTGATTACTGAGTGATGTGGGAGGGCCTAGCCCACTGTGGGTGGTGCCACCCCTGGGCAGGTTGTTTTGTATTGTGTAAGAAAGCAGGCTGCTAGCCAGCTGCTAGCCAGGCATGGTGGTACATGCCTTTAATCCCAGCACTCTGGAAGAGGCAGGCAGATCTCTGTGAGTTCAAGACCAGCCTGGTCTACATAGTGAGTTCTAGGCCAGATGGGGCTATAGGGAGACCCTGTCTCAAAAAGATCAAAAAACAAAAACAAAAACAAAAGAAGAAAACAGGCTGAATATGTGCCAGAGGAGCAAGCCAGTAAGCTTCTGCCTCTAGGTTCCTACCTTAGGCTCCTGATGAACTGTGACCTGGGAGATGAAGATGTAAGCTAAATAAACCCTTTCTTCCCCAAGTTTGTATTGGTCAGAGTGTTTTGTCAGAGCAATTGAAAGCAAACTAGAACACTCATTAAGCACTACCTAGATACAACCTAACCATCTTGACACTACCTTGAATCAACAATGTTTAGTAGTAATATAGATCAACTATCTAGTATACTTTTTTTATTTCCTATGGCAAGTTAACAAGTTATCCTTTCAGTTCCATGTATGTACCTCTTAGCTTTGATATCCTTGGCTAGTATTTCTAAACTCATAGGCATTCTAAATCTTCAAGACTCAGATTGGCTGGCCCTGAATTTTTACATGCCTAAGAGTGTTTTTTCTTTTGCAAAACTTGGGAACTCATTAATGTCAGGCAAGTATTACCACTGAACTATACCTTACCAGTTCTAACATCTATCTATCTTTTAAAATTGATTTCTGAAAGTCCTTTTAAGCCAACCTGAGCATTCTACTAACCTTCCCAATATTTCCACATAGAACCTAAAAGGGTGAGAAATTATCTTTCCCAAAAACAGAGAAAGGAGAAAAAGATATCCTACTACGCACCGCTGAAGCAGTCTCTTTGCTTTCAGTTAAAGCCCTTTCCAGGTCACTCAGGCTCTCTAATTTGGGGCTTTTCTTCTTTCCACTTGGCAAGGGTTCCTTTAACTTTCTCTGTTTCCTTTTCAATCCCCAAAAGCCAATATCACACCGAGGACAAAGCACCTAATACGAGACAAACATAATCACTGGTGAAACAGATTTCAGATTAAGCAAAATAAAAGCCTAAGTGGTGGGAAGTATGCACATTTCTTATTAGCTAACATTTTTTTGAACTAGGCAGGCTTTAAATCTGCAGACTCTGTACTATTTAAGAAAAAAATAAATAAAAAACATAGGCCAGGAAGATGGCTCCATTGGTAAGGGTCCTTTCCATCAATCCTGGCAATCTGAGTTCAACCCCCAGAACCCACATAGTAGAAGGAAAGAACAGATTCACATAACTTGTCCTCTGACCTCCACATGCTCACATATACACATACATAGACACACATGCTAAATAAATAATTTTTTTTTTTGAAAAAGAAAAAAGGGAAGGTAGGCGGGAGGGAGGCTCAAAGATAGACTTTGATTTCAGATTTAATAAGTAAAAATGTGATATATGCCAACTGATTCTAATAATAATGAACAAGCAATGACTTATAGAGAATAGAAAAAGCATAATGAAAGCACTTCTATATCAGATTTACTAAAAATGCAGGTAATGGAGCATAGCCAAGTTTAGAATCATTTGAACAGAGAGCTTTACCCAGCTAGCTGAGGTGGTGCACATTTCTAATTCTAGCACTTGGAAGACTGTGACAGGAATGTCAAGGCTACCTGGCCTACAGAGTCAGACTCAATCTCACATACAAAAGTTCACCTAATGGAAAAATGTTCTTCTTTAAACATTGACTATAGCCTAAATATAGCCAGAAAAACATTTAAAGTTTGCTAAAAACATCTATGAGATGAGTCATCAATGCCACCTCTGAATGTGATGACTGTATTAAAAACTAGGAGATGCAATTTCTTGCACATGAGTTGGTTGCAAACTTACCTCTAAGAGAGAATACGGAGAATTCTCAGTCAAGAATGTATTAGAAGCACATTCTTTCCAAGCCTGAACCTCAGCTACTAGTAATTCCAATCTTGGCAAAGAATTCAGATGTACTGGGATAGATCGGCCTCTTGCGACAAGTTCTATGAGTGTGTCTAACACTGGCACACGTCCTCCCACCTAATAAATAAGAAAAATTACACCAATTTAGAAATGTCTATGTAAAACGGGAAGAGCACCATTCAGTCTGGTCCATGATCAATGGACTGATTCAGATTACTTCATGATTTCAACAAGTTAAATTCACAGATGCTGACAAAATCTGCCAGGTGATCAGTAGCTGGGGGCAGGGGCAATGCTTGTTTTCTATTTAACAAACATCCAGAGAATCTAGTTTGTACTAGACGCCAATGGATAAAAATGTTAATATGGCATTATGTTATGGCTCCTTTTTTCTGATCATTTACAGCCTTTTAAATTCAGCCATCACATTGCTCCCTCTGGACAATCAGCAAGAAATACAACAGAGATAAGTTTGTACTAACAAGGGATGGCAAGATGGTTCAGCAGGTAAAGACTGCCAAGCCTGACTGAGTTTGATGCCTACATATATAAAACTAAATGTTTTAAAAAAAATTTTAAAGTTTGGGGCCAGTGAGATAGCTCAGTAGGTGGGGGCATTTACACCAAATCTGACAACCTGAGTTCAATCCCTAGTATATACCTGGTGGAAAGAACCAACACAAGTTGTCCTCTGACCTCCATATGCACTATGGAATCAACTGTCTAGAATCACTCTGTTCTATACTTTTTGCCAGAGTGGCTAATTAATAGCACTGAAAATTACACATATATGGTACTGAAATACTGGTCAGGTCAAATACCCATAGCTTAAAAATTACACATATATGGTACTGAAATACTGGTCAGGTCAAATACCCATAGCTTAGGTGGTAGTGGTTTTAGAGGTGGGGCCGGGGGGACACAGAAGGACACCATACCTCCTACTGTTGTCTTGCTAAATGGACATGTTGTCAAGGGCTGACCTCAACTTTGGCCAGTGAAGCTTCTCTATACAGTGGGCAGCATTCAATGCAGAGACTGATAACAGATGCTAAGAATAAATGACTATTGAGTGCTCAGTCGAAAATCACCCACCCCCACCAAGGCTCAGGGAACATCATGGAAGTGGGGTCAACAAGAATATAAGAGCTGGAGGATAGAGGGAGTGCTGTGTAACGCTGCCTTCTGGATATGACAAGGCCAGCCCACTCATGAGGCTCAATGTTTTAACTGCACAGACTTTCACAAAATCAGTCCATTCTGACAGGCAGCACTAGTTAGACTGAGTTTCTTTGATTTATTTTATTTTTTAAAGAAAAGGAATGAAATGCCAGGCGTGGTGGCACATGTCTTTAATCCCAGCACTGCAAGTTCAAGGCCAGCCTGATCTACATAGTGAGTTCCAGGTCAGCTGGGGCTACAGGGAGACTCTTTCTCAAAGACCAAAAAATAATAAATAAATAAAATTATGCAAGTAAAACTACCAGTTTCTACTCTTCAGTAACTGCTTGCATTAAGTGTGAAAGGCTATTATTTTCATTTTATGTTGATATTTTGATTTCTTATGTGATCAGAGAACTTATTGTTTTCAAATGATCCCTTATACTGTTTATATCTAATTAGACTGAGTCA